TATATATATATATATATATATGAATAATTTAAACCCTCAAGTATGTTTGAACTGTTTTTAGCAAATACTAGATAGCTAAACTTTTATTAATAAAGTTTCCCAAAATGCTTGTGTATTTGTGTTAATTTTACTGAGGCTGTTGTTTTATTATAAAAATAGTAGGTGAATATGATAAATCAGAGAGACCTGATAGTTATTTGATGGAAATGATCTCTTTGAGGTTCTAAGCTGACTCTCATCTGATTTTCTGGCATCACTTCTAATGAATAATTTTCCCCCATCAACATCTTACCTTTGTAGCAGTCTATGTATAAACATGTATGTGTATGTGCTATGAGTGCATCCGATAGATATTTTCTCTCACATTTTTATAAGTGAGATCATCTATAAAATAATTTATAGCTACTATTTTAATTTACCTTAGTGCAAGTGTCAGTCTATCTCATTCTCTCAGTGGCTACATAGTATTTTGTGGTATAGATATAATGGCATTTATTTTTTAGAGTTTTATTATTTTAGAGTTTTGTGACTAGTGTTTACATGAGCATGTTTCTCCATGGATACTTGCTTATATATGCAAGGGTATCTTGGGATAAATTCCTATCTTTATTGTTTAGGTCAAAGTGTATGTGTATTTTACACTGTAGTAGGTATTGAGCTATTGTTTTCTACATAACCTTCAGAAGTTTATAACCTTCTCCTACACAGATTAAGAGTGCATATTTCATGTGCTTTTGCTGTTACTAAGTATTACCAAACTCTTTGTACATTAAATTTACTTTTGTCTGGTTCTGAACATGATGACCACTGAATACGTATGAAGTACCTTTAGAATCATTACAGAAAATTCAAATTTGTTTATTGTAGTCTCAAAAGTATTCATCTTTAGAGTCCAATTCTTGGAAAAGCATGCATGACACATAAACATATCTTCTCTAATAACCAAAGGCTTGGTTTAATCAAGGCCGCTCTTGTTTGTCATCCTAGATGACAGAATTTATTGGGTCTTGCTGCATTATTCTTTTTTAAAAATAATTATTTATTTATTTATTATTATTATTTTTAATTTGCTATAGGCCATATGAGAGAGAGAAAGAGAGAGAGGGAGAGAGAGTGTGGAAAAGGGAGTAAGCAAACTTCCAGGCTGGGACTCAAACCAGTCAGCCATGTGGGACTCCGGTGCCTACCACCATGCCACCTGCTGGCCCAACTTACTTTATTCTTAATAATTCAGTGTCCAGTTACTTTACTTTCACTTCTTTGGATTTGGTTTGGACATCTCAATGGACTGTGGTATTCATCTGGGAATCTGAGATCTTGGAATTAGCTCCTAAAAGTGAGTTTTCTTTAGCTGTGGAATCTTTTCTAGACATTTCTCAAACTTGCAAAAACTTGAGAAGGTTTTCAGAATACTTACATTACTTTCTGAGGGTCATGCCGAAAGTGATCATCATAACCAGAAGTCCAGTGTTGTAACCTCGGCTTTATAATTTATTATCTGTGTAATGTAGGCAAGTTGTTCATTGATCTTTTAATTGGACTCCCTATCCTGCTGATTTCAGAAAAAACTTGTGAGGTTTAAGTAAAAGTGTTTTGAAAACTATAGGACTGAACTGCATTCTTGGCAGTCTCTGTCCCCTTTTACGTGGAACTCACTTGAGATCTTAACAAGGAATTCATTTACTTAGCAGATCTGATGAATGTCTTTGGATATTGTTTTGCTTCCTGTTTCTCTTTGCAGTTGTGGATAATTAGCATTTAAAGCTGCATGACAACCTATAAAGTTTTCGATATATCAGTAAAGCTGTCTTTAGTTATTGTAAATGTCTATAAGTGGAATTCTTCATTTGTGTTTGGACATGTCACTTTTATTATTTTCTCCACAAAATTCATAAATATGTGACTTTTAAAATTACTGAGGCTATCAGGGCATTATTGATACTTCATTTTCATTTTGTGCTGGTGTGTTACATGTTAACAACTGAATTCCCATTTCCTAAAACAGAGAAAATATATTTGTTTTCATTAAAAGGAGAAATGTTTTAGTAATTACATTTTGTCCTATTTACATGTATTGAAGGTCAACTGAATATCACTGGAAATCTGGAAAAGTGGGCAAATTGGGTAATCGATCACACATGATGTCACAAAATAGAGGAAATGTTATTAAGGTAAGAAGGTACAATTTTATTATCAGGCAATTTGCCAAGCAAGATACTAGAAATTATTTTTTTCAAGTCTTGTGTTTTCTTTCATACTTAGGAATTGACTCCCTTGTTTTAACAAATTTGCACATTATTACTTCATTCATTTTTTGTATGCTAATATGCATATGTTTGTTATTGAGATATATATTATTTTTTTGGAGAAGTTTTTTTTTTTTTTTCCTATAGGGCGCGTGCACTCGCCAGACAGAGAGAGACAGAGAGACAGAAAGCGAGAAATCACCCCCAAGGGGGGATGGGCATGCCGCAATCCCTTCTCCTCCGTTCTCCTCTTCGGATCTTGGACACACACACATATGCGGCCGGCGTGTTTTAAGCCACCTGGTCCGGGACTCGAACCTCTGTCGGCTATGTGGGAGTCTAGCAACATAGCCATTATGCTAACTGCTGGTCCCAAGATATATTTTTGTATTTCACCTATAAGTTGATTTTTAAAAATTTACCTTGAGGTGAATTTTTTCATTCTAAATTTTTCATTTTCAAACTGAACTTTTCCATTCCGTTTAGTTCTGGTATATATGAAATAGAATAGAAAATAGTTCTGTATTAAGGTGAAGCCTCATGTCGTTTGGTATCTATCACAGAATCATAGACTTCATTCTAATGTATAAATAAAACGTATTTAATGTTTTTATATTCTACTCAAATAATAATGATTCATTTACTGTTTACTCCATATGCGAAAGTAAAATGTTTTTCAGACCAGACTGAATTGCTTTATCTTTACTGTGTGTTGTAAAGTAAAAGGTTCTGTTCACTTTAAAATTAAAACCAGAGTCTTATTGTGAAGAAATCTGTTTTGCTTTATTATTTAGTACAAGATCCCTGACTCTGTAAGTTTTAACTTACATAGATTTTTATTTATTTTATATATCAGTTATTAAACTTCCCTTGGACCAGGGGGCATCTACAAACATCTCACTCAGTGCTCCTGAACTTTTTTGGCTTGAAGCGGCATTTTATTTTACAGTATTATTCCCTTAGTAAGTTTTCTTTAATTTTCAGTTAAAAGTTTTATAATCCAGGGTCAGCAGATTGCATAGTGGTTATATTGCTGGTCTTCTACATGGTTGACTGTGGTTTGGATCCTAGACCCGGTGGCTTGAAACCCATACTGGGCGAGTGTGCATGTATGCCCAAGGTCCCGGGAGGAGAAGGGAGAAGAAGGGATTGTGGCAAGGTCATTCCCCCTGCGGGATGTGATTTCTTACTCTTTCTTTCACTGTCTTTGTCTCTCTTTCTCTCTGGTGAGCACATGAGTCCTAAGGCACAAACCTCTCCCACAATAAATAAATAGTTGTATTAACCCTCCGTATTTTATTATCTTTCTGGGATAGTGTTCAATGTTTCAGATGTTACTGTAAATCTATGTTAAAGTGCTTTTTGTGGTTAGTGATGTATTATTTGATAGCATTTATTAAATGCTTTCTTGCCTTACATAAGTTCTCAATAAGATCTTCATCTAATATGAAGCCAAGGTGCATAAAAATATTATAGTGAAGTTCAGAATATAATTTTTGCTATAATCATTTAATGTATGAGCTATCTGGGAAATAATGACATGGCTCTACAGATATTTCAGAATCTATGCGCTATATTCGTAAGGAGAAGTGATGAATAAATCACGATCCGAGTTCCCACAAACCTCCTAATTAGGTAAGAGGGGAGAGCATAGGCACTTGTTTTGCTATAGACACTGGATCTGGAAAGCAAGACCAGGCAGGAGGGCAGAAGGTCTTGGACACCAGGCTCAGGAACCTTGGTATTTACTACCTGGTGAATAGAATTTCCTGACTGTTTTCGAGCTAGGAAGACAGCAAGGTTAAGATAATGATTTATGATTGCTGAACTTGTTCAAATAGCCAGTATGTTTTGTTTAGTTAAATTATTTTGGCCTAAAACAGTCGCAGTACTTCCACACCTGGATTCCTAGGGATGGGTGAAATGAATATGTTAGGCTAGCTTTCTGAGCTGGTTGCTAGGTTACAACCAATTACAGCAGGTGGGCTTCCGTCAATCACAGGCATCCAGCCTTTTAAACAGTGTTAATGCAGACAAACTTCAGATGTAACCAGTGATTTCTCTCCCTCACTCCCTTGCTTAGGTTTTTGCACATTCTCTTTCACTGTGCAAGTCACTTTCCTCTTCCGCTGACTTAAATGCAGAACTGACTGGCAGGCTGACCGGAGTTGTCTGGAAGTCCAGGAACAACTGCCTAATTTAACTCCTGTTAACTTTCAGTCAATAAAACGCTATTAAATTAGTTTACTTTTATTTTAACAGTTTGGAGTTAATAGTATATAGAACAATTGATTGCCAAGGTGTACTAATTATGCAACAAATCAGAAAAAATATATTTTGGGCATGCACTTCTTACACCTGGACTTCTATTTACTTATAAATAGAATTTATTCACATATCTACTAATTATAAAAATATATAATATCTTTTATAAAATAAAATACTGATATTAGTCCAGGGTGAAATAAACATAAATAAATGGTGATGTTTCTTTATTATGCACCAATCTTTTTTTGGCCACTTTGGAAGTCATTGATGTAGAATCAGCAAGGCCATTTCAGGACTATTTAAAGAGTCGAGAGGCCACTTGAAAGTCTGAATTACAATGGGAGCAGAAGGAATACAGAGGACATTATGGAACAGCAACACCACTAGAATCGGTGACAAAGAAGAGTCAGACGTATAACTGATGTTACAGGCTGAACTGAGTAGGAGGTAGCGTGCAGGCGGGGCTAGAAAAGTCTGGTATCAGTTTAGGGTTTTGAATGAATTCTCATGTGATAGTTAAAGCTGAAGGAGTAAATAGGCTCCCTAAGAATTTTTTATTTTTTTAAAGAAAGATGTTAAAAATAAAGCTTAAGGAAGGACAGTGTGTGGAATATGGTGGAACAGAAAGCTTTGATATTTACCTCATGTATTTTGTACCAGTGAAAAGCTTAGCTGTGGTTCCTTTTTTTTTTTTTTTCCATCAAGTGCTTATATGGTTTCTAGAGGTGGTTGTTACTATTCTAGTTTCATAGATGAAGTTACATAACATGAAAAAGTGAAATAACTGTCAAGGTTAAGCATTAGGGCTAAGATTTGAAAGGCAGGCTCTCAGGTTTGTTCTAAGACAATTTGCCAGTTCTCCAGTGAAGATAGTTTGAGAAGAAAAGAAAAACAGTAGTAGAATCAAAATAGTATGTTTTTATGAGTAGGAAAATAAAGGAGGACCTTTTTAGAAACTACGAAGTTAAGATTGTCCAACATACTTTATAGTTTAAAAACTTGATTATCAATTCAGATCAATGTTTCTCAAGGGGGTGATTCCACTTCCCAGCAGGCATTTGCTAATGTCTTTGCAGTTTTGACCATTAACACAGTTATTTTTTTCCCCCTCCTATAGGTAAGTAGAGAGTATAGGCCTTGGATGGTGTGAAATATCCTATATATGCACTGGAGAGCCCCAATGTAAAAGACTTGGCCTCAAATGTCAGTGGTGCTGAGGCTGAGAAACCCTGTATTAGACTATACAGATGAAAAGTCTGACTTATTTCATTAGTTTTGTAATGTTTAGCAAGTCACTTAACCTTTCTAAGCCTCTATTACCACATTTGTAAATATGCATAATAATAACTGCTATTTTGCAGAATTTTGAGCAATGTCTAAGATCATATTTTTGAAACCTCTTCATAGTATTATCTCAAAAATCATATTAATGAAGCCAGCAGATGGTGTAATAGTTACATTGCTGGACTCCCACATGCTTGGCCGCAATTTGAGTCCTGGTCCTGGTGGCTTGAAAATCATGCAGTGTGTGTGTGTGTGTGTGTGTGTGGTGTGTGTGTGTGTGTGTGTCCGAGATCCCAGGAGGAGAATGGAGGAAAAGGGAATGCAGCATGATCATCCCCTCTAGGGGTGATTTCTCAATTTCCTTCTCACTGTCTCTTTCCAGCAAGCACACACCTCTGAAAAAAACCCCACACATTAAAATGTCTATTTTTGGAGAAAGAAATTTTTTAAAATGCTGAATTTGATGACTAATCATTATTAGATGTGAAAGTAGATTTCAGGTGGTTGAAAAGGAAAGTGAGGGAGGGAATGAATAAAGACCACTACCGCAGTGAACTTGAGAGGGAGAAGGTGACCTTTCAAGGGTTTTGAAGACCAAGGTTTTTAGAATAGGGGCAATGAGGTGAGCTAGGTTCTAGTCTGAGGGATGTAAATATTAGTAGAGGAAAGACTGAAGGTGCAGATAAAAGAGGTGCCACTTGTTGGAGGTTTGGCCTTTGAACTTGGGGTTCACTAGAAAGGTCTTCACCAAGGAAACGAGGACACATTTTCTCTGAGACAAGAAAGATGGCATTAAAAACACATGGCAGAAAGGTCATTTTAGAGGTTGTGTTTGACTGAGGGGGGACACCGGGGGAAGTTATAATGGGAAGACCAAACATTCTTAGGAAAGTGGAAGGCAGTATTATCTGCTCAGTAGAAAGGAAAATGGGATGAACGTGAGTTTGTGGGGATGGAGAAGGTGTGGAGTAGCTACTGTGAGAATCACGGTTGGTGGTCAGCAGTAAATGAATACATGGATCGCTGAAGGGTCATAGGGCCCACTGGGACTGTTCAGCATGACTCGTGGAAGAGAGGCCTTCGGCATTATTTCATCACAATGGTAGGTAGATTTTTAGATTAATGGGATAAGGTGATTGAGGTTAGCAATGAGAAACTCTTGAGTTTGGGATTTTGAAGGTGTGACCATTCAGAGTGTGGCTCAGATACAAGGTTTGGTCATAATGGTGGGCTGGCTGAAGGGGCAGCTAGGTGTTCACAGTAGCTGGCAATCGGAGGGTCTTCAGCACCAGGATGTCAGGTAAACATGAACACTGAAGTCTCAAAGATTATCAGCCAGAAATGTGATGGGGAGAAATACTGAGCAGATTGCTGAAGTTCAGGTGGAAAAGGAATCTAAATATTGGTAAAGGCAATAAGCAGATGGAAGGGATTTTCAAGAGGTGACTTTGTTGAGCGATGATAATGGAACTCTTTAGGGAAGGAGCACTAAGAACAAGTAGGAAGACAATGTTTTGTTTTGTTTTTTACCTCTCCGGGTGAGTGAGAACGGAAAGGAACTAGCTCCTTTGGAGAGCGCTTTGGAGAAGGTTGTTTTAAGGAACGGTGAGCTCCAGTTACTGAAATTTTGGGTGAGACATTTTTAGAAGTTGAAAGCATAAGATAGTTAATTCACTATTTAATAGGGGCTTCATGAAACATCAAGGGAACCTGGATGGCAGGATAATCAGTAGAGAACGGTGAAGGTTCCTTAGCCAGTTGATTTGGCAATGAGATTATCTGAAAAGGCGGCTAGTGGGACAAGTGTGGGGCTCTGTGAGGCAGATTTTGGCATTAATGAGAGTTGGGAGGCATTTGTGATTGTCATGGATGCTATGACAACAGTGTAGTCTGACCCTAAGACTGAGGTCGTATGTCTGTGCGGTACATCCAGTAAGCTGCCCTGGCCTCTGATAGCATCCCTTCAGCACCTACAGTGGAGGCATGAGTGGATAACTAAGACATATGCTTCAGTATTTTAAATTCCTGATGATTTGGACATGCATACATATACATATACACATATCCACACACATGTGGATGAACGTGGATGTGTTTGTGTGTGTGTGTATGCACATATATGTGCTTGCAGTTGTCTTTGTCCAATCCTGCTGTACCCAACACTTTCCCAAGGAGACAAAAATTAGAATTATGAGGTAATTCTATTTGCTTAAAAATAAAAGCTAGCAGTTTGTTTATTGAAATATTGTTATGCAATTTGACCCATTTGAAGTAAATGTGGCTATTTTATAGAGCAGAAAAATATTATTCATAATAATAAAAACACATCATAAAATTTTCCTAATAATGGGTTCTTTTTGCTCAGAATATTTATTCATTTTGTCCAGGTAGCCTGTAACCACTTTTATCATATTGCAATTCAGATGTATCATTAAGATAATCATACTGGATAATTTGGTTATGAAAAATGAGATTAAATTATCTGTAACTTGGATAACATTACCAGTTTAAAAATAAAAGTGTGATTCATAAAAAAAAAAAATTCATCATTTAAATTCTATTTTCTTTTCTCTTGTGTTTGGGACATAGCATCTGAACAGCTACTTCAAAGAATGTGAACAATAAATGCCCCTTTGAAGCAAAACCACTAGATTCACTGAGAATAATTAGGCCTAAATTACCAAAGATGACTGCAGTTGGAACAGCCATAGATATAGCAGCAGCCATTGTCCTCATATTCTCATGTACAAATTGGGCAATTGAGCATGCAAACTGCAAATTGAAACTAGGCATGAATTGACAGCCTCTGTGTAAATGCATACCATCCTCCACACTCATTTGTGGACTTTCAGTGTGAGTTTTTAATAAGGTCAAGGCTGGTATGTTTAATTGGCAAGTTTGTTTTACTTTCTAAACTGTGAAGACCCATGGATTTTAAGTGGTAATTTATATGAAATACCTACTAGTGACACTTACCTACTCAATACGGTGGGCTATATTGCAGAAAAGTCAGGGATCACAAATAATGTATTTCAAAGTTAAGTCTATGGAACTTAACCATGTGGCCCTTTAAATGAGAAAAATAAGGTAATCATATTGGCTTCTATGGTTATGTAAGAGATTAACTAGTGCAGTCAGACTTCAGGTTAAATTCAGTTGCATAAATATTAGACATTTGCTTTTCAAAAAGCAGAAATAAGATTTACTGAACCTTTAATATATTTGGATACTAGCATACAATGATGCATAATAGTTTTTGTTTAAATATAACCTACTGTATTTTTAACTGGTTAATATTTTTTCTAGAGTTTGTCTTATTTATGAATTTTCTCTTTAATTAGTTGAAAGTCTCTATCTGCTTTAATGATGATATCCTATTAATTTTACATTGTTTTTTTTTCAAATTAAGGTTTTTTTCAAGACGCACCCAAATGGTACAGCTTTTATAATTTCTTTTTAAGTAACTTAAACTCATTTTTATTTATTTATTTATTTATTTTTTAGATTATGCTTAGGGTGTGTACTCACCAGAGACAGAGAGAAAGTGAGAAATCACTTCCTGTGGGTATGGCTATTTCACAATCTCTTCTCTTTCAGTCTCAGTCTCCTCTTGGGATTTGGGCACACACCCACATGCGCCTGTCATAATTTTCAAGCCGCTGGGTCCTGGATGTTAACTATACAGCTGGCCGTGTGGGATTCAGCACCTTAACCTTCACATCACCTGCTGGTCCCACTAAAATTTTCTTTGAATAAGAGAATGCTTACCTAACAAATAATCTATTTCATTAATACAGCTTTCTGCTGGAAAAGTGAAATTAAAATTACTGAAAGACCATATTAAAGGTAAGCAGTTTATCACTATGTTTCTAGGTGCTAATGATATGAATCCTCTTTTTTTTAATGCTTAAATTACATATAAAATTAAAGTGCTAGAATTGTTCTTGTAGTACAAACATTCTAAACCCCAAAGTGATGACACTTTTATTTTCAAAATAAATTTTATTTATTTTTTTGAGGAGGCTTTATGTTAAAAAATGTCAGCTTAAATTATGATTATAATAATAGCAGTTTTCAAAAGTGAATACTTTTATAGCACTATTCCTTAAACTTTATTGATATAATTTTTTAACCAGGAAGAGAATTTAGCAGTGTAAAGTCATAAACTAAGATTGTTCTCTAAGAAATTAAAAGAATATTGAATATATGTATAACTTCGTGCTCACCGAAGCTGCCAGGCACTACTGCATGCTCCAGTGTACTGGAAAGATTAGGCCTTGCTACAAACAAGTCTTGTTGGGCAACTCTTATTTAAGTGCTGTTTAAGAATTTAGAAATGTGAATACTTCATTATCTTATCAATTAAAAAAAACTAAACATATAAGTGGTTGATCTGATATTGTTTTCTTCCAGCGCCAGTGAAACAACCAATTAATCATAAAATGGCAAGTTCTTCTGAGAGTGAAAGACCTAAGATAAAAGGGAAGGTTTGTGGACAGTGTGAGAACAAAGCTGCTCTGCTGGTACGTACGTAATCACGAGCAGTTGCTACAGAACTCTCCATGGCCTCATAAACCTCTCTCCCTGTAACCTGCTTTGGTAGCCACATGCTTTTCCTTCTTTCCTTTGGCTGTGGTGAAGTGTGTACGCTGCTGGGTGAGACCAGCACCTAACCTTACTCATTGAATCTTACCCTCTCATTCCTACTAAGGCTGTCACCTTAACTTGTGTCCTCTCTCCCAGGATCACACCTGTCAGCACAGACATGCTGCTTTGTCTCCCATCTAAAAACAAGGCCAGAACCAAAACTGCAGCAAAAGTAACTGGTGAACGCCAAATTTCCTTCTGCCCTCCATGAGAGTAAAATTCTTCTGAGAAGTTCTGCACACTTGTCATCATAGTCTCTCCTCATATCCTCTCTTTTTTTATTTTGTTATTATTATTTATACATTCAATTGCTATACAATAATCTAGATTGTGAGAGATTTTACCCAGCATGATACACATCTCAGGCCAGTTGGGAATACTATACACATCCTCATCAACAGATAATAAACTATTTCTGTGTCCCACAAATATCTTAGCTTTCCATTTTTTCCCCTAATTTCCTTTCCATCACTATTCCACTCCTACACTCTCTTTCCACTTTGTCTTAGTGTCCATGACAGTTTTTAATGCTTTTTTGTCCTCCAGTCTTTCAGTCTCTACCATAGAGTGCAGGCAGGTGGTATATGTTAAGTGGATACATACAATGACTCTCTTTCTTAGCCTAACTTGCTTCACTCAGTAACAAATATTTCATATTTCTTCACTTTCTATCAAATTCCAGGGCCTTATTTTTTTTTATGGCTGAGTAATATTCCATGGAGTATATGTGCCATACTTTTTCAATCCATTCATCTGTTTGTGGACATTTAGGTTGGTTCCATGTCTTAGCAATTGTGAATTCTCTAATTATTTTTAAGGAGGTCTAATTTACTTATTGTGAAATGGACAGATTTTAAATGGCTTTTGACAAATGCGTACATCAGATGAAGACACAGAACTTTGCCTTCACCATAGATAGTCCTTTTGCGGCCCTTCAATCAGTCCCTAGCACAAAGGCATCTACTGCTTTTGCTTTATCTCCAGAGACTTATTTGTGTCTGTTCTTGAACTTAATATAAGTGCAACGATAGTTACATTTTTAACTTCTCTTGCTACACATGACAATTAATCCCTGTTAAGTGTACCAGTATTTTGTTTATATTTGTTGACAATCATTTATTTAACGGTATTTCATAACATACTATGAATAGAGATTGCATGCTATATAGCTGATAAAGAGCTAACGACAGTAGTAATTGAAAACCATAGATCTTGGTGTAATATTGTGTTATATTATTCTCATTCGATATGACAGTGGGCAGTAATTTAGGGAATCTTAGCATATCATAACTATCCAGAAATGTGTAAAAAATATAAGTGAATGCTAGTGTTTCTTGAGTTAGAAGTGTGAGAGCTAGAAAAGGGACTCACTCGTTGAATTGTTGAAGTTCACTGTTAATGATTTGATAAAGGATTTATGTAGGAGATATAAGTTGAGATTATTGTGATTCCTCCTCTATTTAGTACTTTCTAATTTGCCAGAAGGTGCATGCATGCACTCACCAGAGAGAAATGGGGTGGGGGGATGGCAAGAAAGTACCCCCATCCCCCATGGGGCATAACTATGCTGTAATCCCTTCTCTTCCACCTCTCCCTCCTATCAGGAGTTTGGGCACTCATACAAACAAACCTAATTTTAAACTGCCGGGTTCAGGACATGAATCACATATTCAGCCATGTGGGATCCGGCTGCCTTAACCACCAGGCCGTGGGCTAGCCCCAAGTGTTTGGTACTTTTGAACAGTGTAGCCTAAGTAGATAGGGCTTGTCCTGGAAATAAAAGATCTATATTTCTAAGGAGAAATAAAGGTAAGAAAAATATTTCAGACAAGGTACATGGCACGTGCTTTGGCTAGAAAGCAAACGGTGACAATGTGTGTGGTGATTAAAGAGCTGCTTTGCCTGGAAACTGTTGTTTATGGAAGCCAGGGTTTGGGCCCTGACGATTCCTGAAAAATTGTGCTAACATTTTAAGAAAAGATGGTCTTTGATTTGAAATGAAAATAGTATCCCATGGTAGTCGTCAAAACACAATAGTTAATTTAAAAATTCAAGTTAGCCAGATATAATGTGGTTGACCAGGGATTATTGTGTTGTTTACTTTTATCATTGTGTATGTTTATAGTCACTGGGTAATTAGATCAAATCTACCCACCCACCTATTGCTCTAACTCTTTTATATGCATTTCATTGGACTTCACCAGGAAAATTGTGTATGGGAGATAGGGAATCAGAGTTTGCCTTCTGGAGGTTTAAATCTCAAATTTCGCTGTTATTAGCTATGTGACTCTTAGCAAGTGATTCATTCAATCTTTCTATATTTCTATTTATTCATTTGTAAAATGGCACAATATAGATACTTGTATTAAAGTTATTGAGGATAAGGTGGAAGTGAAGTGTGTCCAGTACACAGAGAAGACACGTAAGTTGTGTGTTTTTATTGTTGACATGTTTTCTTATGACCCAGTGCATTCATACATGCTGATGACAAAGACAAAACTCAAAACTCAATTTTCTTACATTTAAGGGAAATCCCAGTAGCCTTAGGCTGTTTCTATATGGCTCAAGTGAAGTAGCTAGTTTAAAAACCATACATTAATTTGGCCAATGCGGATAGATTAATCAAAGTCAAATGGATTCTGAAGGCGTAGCACAACTGAACTGGCATTCATCAAATTAACAAGATATTTGTTAAAACTGCACTTGAGTATTCCATCATTGAAGAAACATCTGTGGTTGGCTTGGAGTTCTTATCTACGTTTTTAACATGTTTCTGCCAGTTATACAAACTGACTAAAAAGATTTTCCAGTTGGCGGTCGTTTTAACCCAATTTAAATCCAAATATGCTTGTATAACGAAATATATAAGCTTACTCTGCAACTCCAGCTTTGATCTTCCAGTCCCCAAATATCCATTTGGTTACTTTCATTAAAAGTCTGTTGTTAACAAATACTTGGCATAGAATTATGTACTGAGACCGATTTTCAGTTCTCCATTTTACATGATAAAAATGGTGCCAAATATTTGTGAGAAATTCATTAAAATAGGATCAGATATGTGAAATAAAAATTATGTATAATACTTTTTGGAATCTATAATATAATAAAGCTACATTTTTGTGAAATTATAGTTTTTAAGTAAATTTTACACTTAACAATGAAGGATTTGGGATAATGTTTTTTATCATATATTCTTTAAGATACCATGGCTCTTTCTATTTACTTTTTTTTTTTTTGAGAGGTTTTCACTATAGGGCGCGTGTGCTCTCCAGACAGAGAGAGACGTAGAGACAGAAAGAGAGAAATCACCCCCCAGGGGGGATGGTCACGCCGCAATCCCTTCTCCTCCATTCTCCTCTCTGGATCTTGGGCACGCACGCACACGCACCCGGCATGAATTTTAAGCCACCGGGTCCGGGACGCGAACCGTGGTCGACTACTTGGGAGTCCAGTGACATAGCCATTACGCTAACTGCTGATTCCTCCATGGCTCTTTCTACAAAAGTCGAAAGAATAGGACTAGTTCCTACGTTAAGAATAGTATCTGTTTTCCCTTTTCTTAAATTAAAAAAACTCATTCTATATAGCTAATCACTTTTGAAGAAGGACATTTAGATTTTGCTAAATAGCACAGCATGCTTCATTTGAAATATTACTTTTATATTTTTGGTAAGTATTTTATCAAGATTTTAAAAATAAATAATTAGCAGTTAATCATCTGTGGTTAATTGAACGATTGGTATTGTATGTCTAGTTAAGAGCTTGAGCTTGAGCCAGACAGTGAGGTTGAAATCTCGGCTGCACCAGCTGACTTGTGTGCCTATGGACAAATTCCCCACCGTTAGATCTTTTGTTACCTCATCCTCATAACGATCACTCAAACCTAATACAGTTGTTGTGATGATTAAGTGAGAGAAAAAAGCATTTAAGAGCCTTAGGGCAGCAATAATTGCTCACTAAATGTTGTGGATATTGTGATTTTATTCTAGCCTCCCTTTTTAATTTCATTTTAGTTATATAAAAATGCTGACTCTTGGGAACCAGCAGTTAGCGTAATGGCTATGTCGCTGGACTCCCACGTAGTCGACCACGGTTCGTGTCCCAGACCCGGTGGCTTAAAACTCACGCCGGGCGCGTGTGCGTGCGTGCCCAAGATCCCGAGAGGAGAATGGAGGAGAAGGGATTGCGGCGTGACCATCCCCCCGGGGGGTGATTTCTCGCTTTCTGTCTCTCTGTCTCTCTCTGTCTGTCTGGCGAGGGCCCGCGCCCTACAGTGAAAAATCTCTCCAAAAAAAAAAAAATGCTGACTCTTTCAACTTTTGTTTTTCATCTTTATAATCATTTTATATTTAATAAATCTGATGACATGATGGTAGATAACCATGTCATTCATGGGGATTTTCATAGTTAACAATGAATGAAATTGCGCTGCCCGGCCTGTGGGGTCGCCCTTCTACCTTTGCTTTTGGGTAACAGTACTCACTTCCTCTTGGGGGAAGGAACGAAGCTGTCGGTTCATCTCCTGCTACGGGGCTGCTCCTCTATGGACATTTTCCTTAATAAACATGCTTTCACTCTCCCTCAAAAAAAAAAAAAAAAAATAGAACTTGACACCCTCCTATTGGACTATTTAAACCTGAGCTTAGTCTGCTTTTCTATGTCAAGTACACTCGTAACTCGCTCTTCAATGTGTGGTCTGTATAGCAGCAGCGTGAACATCGTCGTGGAGCTTGTTAAAATGCTGCTGAAGCAGCCTCTGCATTGTAGCTAAATCCTCGGTGATTCACACGCCCACGGTGCGGGGAGAAACGTCATTCTTTGCACATTTCAGCCGGGCACTGACTGGTACAGAGCGTAAGATCCCGGGTCGATCTTGCTTCAGCCTGACTTAGCTACTTTTTCACTTATTATTCACTCAATATAAAGAAAGAGCAAGACGCGAAGAGAATGGTAGTGGGCATTCAGAGAAGAAATGAGAAACGATTGGAGGAACTAAGAGGACCTACCGTAGATACTCTAGATACTCTAGCACCATCTCTCAAAGACTTCAGGCTTGGAAATTTGTGTTACTGGCAATTCTTGGCCTGAGCCAAACTGAAGGGAATGAGGAACCTTAGCCATTCGTGTTGCTGTTTATCACTTTGACGGGCGTTGAAACAGGGGTTCCACTGCACGGTTGTAATTTCACTTGCGTAAAAATTCCATTTCCTTTATTTTCAGCCTTTCTTGACACCTTCATAGGCACAGGTATATTGCATTATTCCACTTAACTGACCCATAGATTTGTAAAGTTACATGTTAACATCGTAGAGACTTAGGAAGATAAAAATAAACTTGCCCGTAATTACTTTACAGACATGAGCATTACTGACATTGTGATGAATTTATGTCTAGTTTTTTTTTTTTTTTAAATTATACTCTCTTTCCTTTGGGGACATTTGTAAAAACACTTTGAAAACCCTATGTTGAGACTCTGCAGTGAAGGAGGACATTTCAAGGAAATACGGGGATTGTTGGAGGCAGAGAGTATGCCTATAATTTAAACTACTTACATCCTGTAACTTTATATTAAACTCACTAAATCCTGATAAAGATAACTCATAAAGTGAAGATTTTACCCTTAGATAATGCCATTTAAATTTTACCAAGTTGAGAAGTTGGACTTGGAATTATTGGTTGTCTAATGGTATATCCAGAAATTGTACATAAATACATGGCTATAACACATATACCTAACAGTTATATTAAATTATACTCTCTTTCCTTTGGGGACATTTGTAAAAACACTTTGAAAACCCTATGTTGAGACTCTGCAGTGAAGGAGGACATTTCAAGGAAATACGGGGATTGTTGGAGGCAGAGAGTATGCCTATAATTTAAACTACTTACATCCTGTAACTTTATATTAAACTCACTAAATCCTGATAAAGATAACTCATAAAGTGAAGATTTTACCCTTAGATAATGCCATTTAAATTTTACCAAGTTGAGAAGTTGGACTTGGAATTATTGGTTGTCTAATGGTATATCCAGAAATTGTACATAAATACATGGCTATAACACATATACCTAACAGTTATATTGCAGCTATTAGCATTTATGTTGATGTGAAAGTAATTGTAATTGATGTTTACAAGTTAAGTTTTTCTCAAAGAGTTAAATCTTAGCTGGGACCATGGTTTGAATCTCACAGTTATGATTTATGATGACATCTAAGAATGTAAGTGAAGAACATTTTTATGTAAACATTTTTTAAAAATTATGGTGTTCTAAGATACATGATTTAAAATAATTTATCTTTTAAGATATGCCTTGAATGTGGCGAAGATTATTGTTCTGGCTGCTTTGCTAAAATTCACCAGAAGGGGGCACTGAAGCTCCACAGAACAACTCTTTTGCAGGTATGACTGTGAAATGTTTTATTTTCAGCGTATTTATAAATGGTTTCAACATAAGGACCTTTAAAGCATGTCTAATTATCTAGAATTCAGAATTATTTACAGTAATTTCTAAAATTCTATTCTGTACAGTCTTGACATACATCTTAAAATTATTTTACTGAATACTAATCTAGATTCTGTTTGCTAAACTGTGTAATATAGTTGCAGAAACACTTAGCTTGATTAGAGTTTTTAGATGTGTTCTATCTGTGAACATGACATAGAACATTTAAACAGTGCTTTTATTTATTGTGGACACATACTTTAAGTTTTATTTTTACCTAGTTTACAAGTATTTATAGACACTTTTTTTTTCATGTTAATGTAAAAATTAGCTTTTTGGGGGCAGCTGGTGTGGTGGTGGTTATGGCATCTGGATCTTCCATGGACGAATATGCAGTCGGAGACCTGGACTTGAAACTCACCAGACATGCATGTGTGTGTGCCCCAGATCCTAAGAGTAGAATAGAGAAGACCGGATTGCAGTTTGGCCAGCCCCTCTGGAGGTTGATTTCTCACCCTCTCTCTCTCTCCCTCCCTGTCTCTGTCTGGATAACACATATGCCCTATAGCAACAACCACCACACATTAACTTTTCAATTTGTTCTTGTTCATTATTAGTTAGGTCAGCTCATTTTTCAGGTTTCTATTTACCTTCTACATATCATTATTTTTTATTATTTTATAATCATTGCTTTTTTAAAAAGAGATTTTTGCAATAAGGTGCATGTCTCACTGCAGAGACAGAGAGAAAGAAAGCGAGAAATCACCCCCCGCCCCCAGCGGTGGATGGTCAAACTGCAATTCCTTCTCTTCCGTTCTCCTCTTGGGATTTTGGGCTCACATGCACATGTGCTCAGTGTGAGTTTCAGGCCACTGAGTCTGGGATTCGAACAGCAGTTAGTCACATGGGAGTCCAGTGCCTTAACCACTATGCCACCTGCTGACCCCTAATTATTGCTTTTGAAATGCCTAAGCACAAGAACCAATAGATGGCATACTGGTTACATTGCTAGATTCCCAGGTAGTCAACAGCAGTTTGAGTCCTGGGTCTGGTGGCATAAAACGCATGCTGGGAGCATGTGTGTGTGCGCCGAAGATCTTTGCAGGAGAAGGGATTGTGATGTGGCCATCCCCCCAGGGGGTGATTCTCAGTTTCTGTCTTTCTGTCTCTCTATTTCTCTTTGGTGAGTACATGTACCTTAGAGCAAATATTTCTCTGACAGACAAAAAAAAAAAAAAAAAAAAAAAAAAGAAAGAAAGAAAAGAAAAGGAAGGAAAAGAAAAAAAAATGCCTAAGCACAAATGATGCCAGATAACTTTAAAAACTCTGATATCGGGGCCAGCAGGCAACATAGTGATTAAGGCGCTAGACTCCTACCTGGCCAACCAAGGTTGGAGTCCCAGACCTGGTGGCTTATTTTCTCAATTCCCCCCCACCCATGTGTCTCTCTCTAGTCAAATTAAATAATAATAAATAAATTAATTAATTCTTTTAAAAATTCTGATATTTAAATAATAAAATGGTTAGAGACAAGATGTCACATTAGTTGCATTATTATTATTATTTTTTTAATTTGCTGTATGGCATGTCGATTTGTCTGAGAGAGATGGAGAGAAAGTGAGTAGAGAACCATGCCACAATCCCTTCCCTCTATTCTTTTAGGACTTGGGGCATGCACACACACAGGCACTCAAGTGTTTTTCAAGTCACCCAATCTGGGACTCGAACCACACAGTTGGTTATGTGGGATCCAGCCACTGCAATTGTGTTTCTCCATACTAGCTCTAGTTAACGATGCATTGATTTATCATAGATTTCATTCATCTTACAGCAGTTTACTTGACAAATATTTCTTGAATACCTTCTAGGAGGCAGAGTCTCTGATAAGCAGTGACTATCCGTATTAGTAACATTGACATCCTCCTCTTCAGGACTTGGACTTGGAGATACAAGTGAGAACAAAGATCTTGTCTAATGGGTTAAGAGTTTTTTTTTTTTTTTTTTTTTTTAAAGATGTTTTTGCCTTAGGGCACTTGCCTTCTGCAAAGAGAGGGAGAGAGAAGGAAAGTGAGAAATCACCACCTGGGGTGAATGGCCATACCACAATCTCTTCTCCTCCATTCTCCTCTTGGGATCTTGGGCACGTATGCACTAGCGTCCACTGTGAGTTTCAAGCCATCAGGTCTGGGACTCAAACTGTGGTTGGCCATGTGAGATTCCAGTGATATAACCAACCACTACACCATCTGCTGGCTCTGAATTAAGAGTCTTTTTTTTAAAAAATTTTTGTAGAGGTTTTTGCTATAGGGCGCATCTGCTTGCCAGACAGACAGAGAGACAGAGAGATAGAAAGTGAGAAATCACCCCCCAGGAGGATGGTCACACCACAATCCCTTCTCCTCCATTCTCCTCTCGGGATCTTGGGCACTCATGCACACGTGCCTGGCATGAGTTTAAGCCACCAGGTCTGGGATGCAAACCGCGGTTGACTACAGGGGAGTCCAGTGACATAGCCATTATGCTAAGCATTGGTCCCTGAGTTAAGAGTTTTAATATTATCTTGAAGACAAAGTGAAGGAGATAATCAGATCTGTAATTAGGGAGATCACTGATAGAGTTCATTCTTTTCAAGTTACCTTGTTATTCGTAGCTCATAAGGATGCTTATGACCGAAGTTATTAAAACAGCAAAATATGAAATAGACGTACCTCATATTTACCATAGTCAGTTACTTTTGAGTGGTCACCCAATGTTTATAGCTTGCAGCAGAAATGATGGGGAGAAAATTAAAAACTACCTGCTACTTTCCTCTCTCAGGATATTACAACTGGACAGTCATAGGAAATGAAAATTGATAGAAAAGAGAGTCTGCGTATAACAGTATAGAATTTAACTAAAGGCACTCTACTTGGAAGGTAAATAGTGTAAGTACCCTCTCCCACTGTGAATTTGTCTTAGGTCTATGTCACTGAGCAGTTTATTCAGCATGTTTTCTAAGTTTATGACTCAGTGCGTTTCAGCACCGTGCTAGGTGATGAGGGAGACACAAAGATGATCGAGACATGTTTCTTCCCCTTCAGTGTTTGAGCTTCCAGATTTATCCAAACTAGATTCTTTTCTCGTCATCCTCCCTTCTCCTCTCTCTCACACACAGATCCACATACACAGAATTTCAAACGACAGTTCGATTTGGACGTGGCATGGTTAATTGTTATCCAGATGCAGCGATGATATATGGGTCAAACCATGCTTACTAAAAGCATCAAGACGTAGAGTATGTTTTCTAAATACTGAACATTTCTCTATTACATATTAACGTCCATATTGTGGGCATATCCTCTATCTGAACATACTAGAAGGTGATCTTTGTAGATAAGAATCTTGCAAAAATCTGGAACCAGCAGATGACGTTAGGGTTACATTGCTGGATTCCCATGTAGTCAACTATGGTTTGAGTCCCAGATCCAAACGGTTGAAATTCACTCTGGGCACTTGTGCATGCATGCCCAAAATCCCAAGAGGAGAATGAAGGAGAAGGGACTGCAGCGAGGCCATCCTCTTGGGGTGTGGGGGGGTGATTTCTTGCTCTCTCTCTCTCTCTCTCTCTCTCTCTCTCTATTTCTTTGGCAAGTGCACATGCTCTATAACAAATCTCTCTTTAAATAAATAAAAGAATCTCTCAAAATTCTTAGTGCATTATTCATTGAGGATGTGGGGAAATATTTATGTCATATAGTTTATTTTTTATTTATTATTATTTATTATTGTTTTTAGGGAGATTTTTGCTATAGGATGCATGCACTCATCAGAGATACAGAGAGACTGAGACAGAAAGCTAGGAATCACTCCCCAGGGGGGGATGGCCACACCACAATCCCTTTTCCTCCATTCTCCTCTTCGGATTTTGGGCATGCACACATGTACAAGCGCATGTGTGAGTTTTAAGCCCCCGGTCCAGGACTTGAATTGCGGTCGACTACATGGGAGTCTAGTATGTAACCATATGCCATCTGCTGTTCCCAAATTTTTTGTATTTTTTTAATTAAAAAAAAAATTAAAGTCCCTCCCCTCCCCCCCATAGGGCATGTGTGGTCACATAGAGACAGAGAGAGGCAATGAGTGGGAAAGTGAGAAATCACCCCCTGGGGGTAATGGCCACACTACAATCCCCTCACTTTCATTCTCCTCCTGGGATTTTGGCATGCACACATGCCTGGTGTGAGTTTCAAGCTGCTGAATCCAGGACTGGAATCATGGTCTGCCTCACCAATTGCTGCCCAATACACTTTTTATAACCAAAAATAGTACCGTATTATTACTTGTGTGCAACTTCCTTCGGGTTACATGGTACATTGGCACAAAGCATATATGGCAGCCTACAGACTCTTTTTCTCCATCTTTACTGAGGTATAATTAACAAATAAAAATTACATATATACAGGGTGTACAATTTTGATGATTTGACATATATTGTGAAAACATCACTGAAATAAAGATAATGAAATATTTATCACCTCTCATCACATTGCCTTTTCTTTTTCTTTTTCTTTTTCCTTTCTTTCCCTTTTTCTTTTTCTTTTTCTTGTTCTTTTTCTTTTTCCTTTCTTTTCCTTTTTCTTTTTCTTGTTCTTTTTCTTTTTGTGGTAAGTACATTTAAAATACTGCCAGCTTCACAATTTCTAGTTTTGAATTCAGGGGAAAAAAAGTTGTAACCCACTAAGAGTAAAATGGTATTTAAGTTCCTAGCGAATCTCAAATTGTAGAGGACACATTTGTCTCTGAAACCTGGCATAAATGAATTTCACGATAGTTACACAAATGAGAGAGAATGGCAAGTGACCATGAGTCCTTATAGGTTTCTTCAAAAACTAGGACTTCTTTTTACATAACTAAAATTAAAGCTAGGTGACAACAAAGAGTACTACTGTTTCCTATTGCCCTCCTGTCTTTGGAGAGG